CATCTTTGTTTGTATGTGGTGCTGAGGATCGAACCCGGGCCGCACACTTGAGCCACATCCCCAGCCCTCATCTGATTTTATTTATATGCATTTTCTTTACTTTTTCTATTTCTGGGTTTGTGTATTTTGGTTCTCTTTTCAAAGAACTAGCTCTGTTTCCTTTATCTTTTGGTTTTTTTGTTTTGTTTTGTTTTGGTCTCTTACATTTATTTCTATTCTATTATTTCTTTTCTTCTAATTTTGGGTTTAGTTATTTTTCCTCTTCCTTTTTAATGCAATAGACTGTCTTGAGATTTTTATGCCTTTTTGATGTGGGTGATGGTTGCTATAAACTTCTCTCTCAAAACTGGTTCTGCTTATTTCCATAGGTTTTGGTCTGTTTGTCTATTTTCTTTTCGTTTCAAGAAATTTTAAAATTTACTGGATTTCTTACTTGATCCATTGGTTATTTTATATCTATGCATTTTTATATTTTCTAAAGCTTATTGTTAATTTCTAGTTTTATTGCTTTCTGGTAAGAAAAGATACTCAGATGTTTCAATTTTTTAAAAATTGAGTCTTGCTTTGTGATCTATTGTAATCTATCCTGGAGAAAGTTTGATGAGAAAAACTTATTCAGCAGCTGTTAGATGGATGTGTTCTATAGATGTCTGTTAGATCCATTTAGTCTAGGATACAGTGTAATTGATGTTTATTTTTCTGTAAGGATTGTCTGTTCATTACTGAAAGTGTGGTATTAAAAGTCCCCAACAATTCTTGGAGTATACTTTTGCCTTTAGGTATATTAATACTTGCATCATATATTTGGGTGTTCTGATGTTGGGTGTGTATTTAGAATTATTATTCTGTTTGAATTGACCCCTTAAAAATCATATACAGTGACTTTCCTTGTCTTTATTGTTTTTGATTTAAAGTCATTTTATTGGATATTAGTATGGCTACTTTTGGGGGGCTCCATTTGTATGGGTATCTTCCATCTTTTCACTTTTTGTGTGTCCTTAGAATTGAAGTGAATGTGTTATAAATAGCATACAATTGGCAATTTTATTTTTTAACCTCCTCACTCTTTTAATTGGGGAATGGAATTCATTTACATTCAAGGTAATTTTTGGTAGGTAATGTCTTACTAAAGGCTATTATATGCCTTATTTTCTACTTTTGTCATAGTTTCTTATAGTCTTGCTTGGTGGTTAAGTGAATTAGTTTAGTAGTGTGTTTGGATTCCTTGCTTTGTTAAATTTTTGTTTTGTGTTACCATGAGGCTGATTAAAAAAAAATCTTGCTTATACCAAGCTATTTTGAAATGATAGCAACTTAATGTGATAGTAAGGATGAGAAACAAAAGATAGAAGAACACAGGCAGTTGAATTCTATCCAATCTTTCTGTATTGCCTGTTACTTAAACTAGTTATTTTTTTAATCTGTGTACTAAAGAATGGTTTATACATTATTCTTATTCTATATTTATTTATTGTATATTATTGTATTTTTATTCTCATAAAAAACTGTTTTTTCAATAATTCTTTCAATTTGAAGAACTTGAACATTTATTTTAGAACAGTTCTGGTGGAGATATTTTGTCTCAAATTTTGTTTGGAAAAGTGAGTCCTTCACTTCTGAAGGGTACCTTTGCTGGGTATACACTATTCTTGGTTGACAGTTTTTTTGTTCTTTTTGTTCTCCTTCAGTTTAGTGAAAATCATGGGCCAGTCTCCTAGCCTGTAAGATTTCTGCTTAGAAGTGTGCTGTCAAATTGCCATACCCCCGTGATGGGCATTTTTTCTTGCAGCCTTGAGAATCTTTCTGTTTCTTATCTATGATAGTTGGGTTGATTATAATATATTTGGGGGTAGACTTATTCAGTTAGACTTAATGAGTTAAATCTGAATAATAACCTTTGACCTTCCTATACCTGGATATTGTTTATCCTTTTCTAGGTTTGGGAAGTTTTTAATGAAAGATGGGTAGACTAGACAGCAAGGTTGGTGCTAAGCTCTGTCACCAGAGTCTCACAGCCATGGGATTCTTCAGTCTTTAGAGGTGGGTAGGTATTCTCAAAGTCCACTATGAGGCTGAAGTGGCTGAAATTTGGGTCTGTCCCACTGGCACACAGATCTCTGCCTGATGTGAGGGCTGGCTTAGGGGCTTTATGAGCTTTGCCTTGTGAACAGAGTCTTCAGTTGCTACTTCAGTGGACCAGTGGTGATGCTTGCTAGAAGTTTGATAAATGGGGACCACATGTCTTCCCCTGGCACTGGACCTCTTACGGAACTGGGTCTTGCACTGGACTCTGAGAGAAAGCCTTGTGCCAGCTTTTCTGCCCAGCTTCCCACTGTGCTATCCAAGTTTGGATGTTAGGGGTAAGGCAGTCTCTTTGCCACCAGCCTAAGGCACTTCCAGTAGCTCAGTCCACAGGTGTTGGCCTGGCTGTAGGGGTCATGGGGCTTTGCCAGCACTGGGTTTCAACTAAGGCGTGAACTTAATTCTCTCCCCTTCCCCCACTGGGAGGCTTCTCTCATACAACTCTTAACTTTCTACCTTCTTCAATACATCTTTTGTTATACTAAAAGCAGGCACTATGGTTGCCTGATTTCCCTAGCTCTTGTGAACTTAGTTTGATTCAGGAACAGCTTTTCAGCTTGGTTCATCTATGGAGAGAAATTGCCAGAGTATCTTACTCTACTCTCCAATAAAGTTTGTAGAGTTCACTTTTTATGTTGTACAAACCATAAGTTTTGCCAAATGTATTTTGGTATATATTTGGTATCATACAGGGTAGTTTCGCTGCCCTTGAAATCCTGGGCTTCACTTGTTTACCTCTCCCATCCTCCCTACTATTCCCCAGAAACCACTGTCTCATTGCCTTTCCAAGAGTATCATATATTTGGAATCACAATTTTCAAAATGACTTCTTTATTTAGCAACATGCATGTAAGTTTCCTCTCCATTTTTTCACTTGATAGCTCATTGCTTTTTATTGCTGAATAATATTCTAAGGGGTGATGGCCAGTATCTCAATGAGGGGGGGTGTTGTTCTTCTTGCTGAGGAGAGTATAAGCCACCTCAGAAATTAAAGTCTAGAATAATTAGTGAAGAACAAAAGACAAAGAGTCAGAAATTTATTTTCATAAATGGAGCCCCTGATAGGTTTAGTCCACATGGGGGGGAGCTGGAACTCAACGAAAAGTAGATAGCTCCAGTGGTTTATTTAAGGGGGTACACCAAAAGCAGGGATAAGGTTTAAGGGTGGAGTCCTGCTGACTGCAAGACAACACAAAGCAAGTCACTCCTATCTCAGAGGGGCTGTGTGGGACCTGTGGCAGAGCTTGAATAGGGATCACAGTGAGGGCAGTCAATCAGAGGAAATGTCCATTGGTCATTCCCAGACACCAGATTCTCCTATTCAGTATGCTTTGGCGCAGAGCAGCTCACACACAGCCCATGGATGGCATGCGACTATATTCCATTCTATGGATGTACCATAGTTTGATGCTAAATGGTGTTGAATATATAGCCATATTATTTACAGTTCTGTATTTCAGGGATTGTGAATTTTGGGGGGGTTGTACCACAGATTGAACTCAGGGGCACTTGACCACATCCCCAGCCCTATTTTGTATTTTATTTAGAAACAGAGTCTCATTAAGTTGCTTAGCACCTCGCTTTTGCTGAGGCTTTGAACTTGTGATCACCCTGTCTCTACCTCCCTAGCTGCTGGGATTACAGACATGTGCTACAGCGCCCAGCTTAGAAAATGTGAATTTTTAAAAAATATTTTTAGGGTTTTCATTCATAGTCTTTGTATATATTGATTCCTGGGGGAAAGTAGAAAATGTTTTATGAGGGACTGGGGTTGTGGCTCAGTGATAGAGCCCTTGCCTGGCATGTGTGAGGCCCTGGGTTCGATCCTTACCACCACATATAAATAAAGAAATAAAGTAAAAAATCCACTGGCAACTAAAAAAATTAAAAAAAAAAAAAAGAAAATGTTTTATTGCCGCAGTCTGGCTGGGCACACAATCACGAGCCACCACACAGCTTGTAGATTCAAACAGCAACTCTTTATTCCCGAACTCACACCAGCCGTCTACAACCACGTTCTGGGGAAATCCACGTTCTCTGCCCAAATCCACACCCACTGGGCTTCTATCTCCAAAATATATTGTCTGAATCCCGTGAGAACTCAAGGGGAACTCAGGCAGCAGGATACGCCCTATTCCCAGCAGGAATAATCTTAAACCTTAAACCTGGAACCTAAACTGGGAACGCCCTAAACAAGATTATCTTAAAACCGGGAACACCCTAATCTGCCTTGGTCCTTGAGCAAGGTCACTTACATTCAATGTCACTGCAACATGTCAGCAACATGGGGTACGCTGGCAAGGAAATTGTCATACCTACTTGGCTAATGGCTCCCAGCATTTTATGAAGTTTCATTTTAAGCTCAAAAATCATATAACACAAGTTAAACATTTTTGTGATTTAGCCAATAAAACCATACCCAAGATCTACATATAGAGAGAAAATTTTTTTCTAATAGAACTGCTTATATCATGCTAAATTGAATCATTAAAGAGTGCACTTTGAAATTTAGTCTGTTCACAGAAATATAATGTCGATCCTAGTTTTAAAAAACATGATTCCTGCCTTGAGGTCTTTTCATAAATACATCATCATATCGGAGTATTTTCTGCTTGGTTTCCATGTGGTTATAGAAAAATCTACTCTGTAGAGAATCCTGCAGTGGAGGCTGGGTGGGTTAGTTGATTAGTTGTTTATTCTTTTAGACAATTGACATGTAATTTTTGCTTTCTAAAACCTCTAATATTGTTTGGGTATGGCATATGGTAAGTTGTAATTGAGGTAAACTTCCCATATTAAATTATACTATTAATTTGATATTTTTTCTTTGAAGTGAGTTTAAAGCCTAGAAATTTTGATTCACCTTTTAACTCTTTGGATGTCTTCTTGATATTATGTCCTTTCTTCCTTCTTCCCAGGGTACAGTTAATAAAGTGTCTTCTAGCCACATTGGCTGTTTGGTACATGGGTGTTTTAATGCTTCAATCCCTAAACCTGAACAGATGTCAGTTGAGCAGTGGCAAACCCTGGAGATAAACGTGGGTGATGAATTAGAATTTGAAGTATTTCGTTTAGACTCAGATGCTGCTGGAGTATTTTGCATTCGAGGAAAAATAAATATTGCCTGGTAAGTTCATATTTGAAACACAGTATGGGAAACTCTATTGCTTTGATATATATTGAAAGTATTTTTTTATTTTATTGTCCTTGATTTGACAATTCTGGGTTTAATGTTCAATGGCCTAATTTTTCTGAACTGAACCAAACCAAAATTTGAAAGCCAGTTTTTGACTTCTGGAGTAATATAGAAACAAAGAATTAAACAATTAATAATGAAATTTATAAAGTTATAGTACGGTATTATTGCTATCAGCATGGAATTTAAGTTTTAACAGGCTACAGGATAAAAAAAGAGAATATATGAAATTTACACCATAGTTATGTATCCTATGCTGCTTTCATTTAGGAAATTTTTACATACTGAGCTATCCTTGATATCATTTTGTTCCTTTATTTTTGCTTAGTGCTATTTATTGTTTTAATGTTTATTTATAGTTTGCAGTCCAAGCACCCTAATGTTTCTGAAGAAGTAACAGAAACTCTAACTGAAGAATCTGTTGAAAAAATTCCAAAGAAAAAGAAAAAGAAAAAGAAAGATCCAGAAATTTATGAAGTAAATGATGGTGTCACAGAGCCAGCAGATTTTACAGGTATCACTCCAAAGGAAGAGGAAGAGCTACAGGTTAGTAATGACATGAATGGCCTCTGTGAGGAAGAGCCAAAGAAAAAGAAGAAGAAGAAGAAGAAGCACCAGGAAGATCAGGATCCTATTTTTCAGTGCAGTGACTCCAGTGGTTACCAAAGTGACCATAAAAAGAAAAAAAAGAAAAGAAAACATAGTGAAGAGGCTGAACTTACACCAGTTCTGGAATGCTCACCTAAGAAGAAACAAAAAAGTAATTAGTGCATTTTAAATAGGATAGTTGATAAAGGAGTTTTGAAAAATGTTTATGTTGTGCTGGGTGTGGTGTTACACATTTGTAATCCCAACTACCCAGGAAGCTGAGAGGTCAGTCTGGGCAACTTAGTGAGACTTTGTCTCAAAAAGAGCTGGGGATGTAGCTCAGTGCTAGATAGTGCTCCTGGGTTTAATCCCCAGCACTATAAAATAAAAAGGCATATGGATACCAGTAATTTATAAAACAGGGAACACTTGATTAGGAATTGGAGGGTTTTTGTGCTAACTGGCTAATTTGGATAGGACCCATGTTATTAAATTGCCATTTTATTGTAGACAGAATAAAATGGTAAGAGCTACTCTCATTCTCAAATCTTGCATTCTTCCAGATGTTAACTTTCCACATAAAATTTTCTTTGCATGCTGAAGATTAGCAGACATACTCTATAGTACAATGTTATTGCTATCATTAAGGAACAAGTTTGGGATTTCCCCCTGCTCTGATAATAGGTGTCACCTTTAGTCATTTTATGCTGTTTTGCTTATTTTGTTTTCTTTAATCACAGCGGTTAGTGTTTCTGTTGTTTAACTTAAAAAAATTATTTGCCAAAGGAGCTTCTGAAATGTCTAGAACCCTTGAGTACCATGCCACTGTCGACTGGTACATAACAGTATTTACTATACTCTCCTTTGAGGTGTGTGTGTGTTTTAAATTCTGAAAATTGATGGAAAGTGCTCTTACCTTGTACTTGTTTATTTGTGCCTCACTTGTGTTGAAGGAAGAAAGTAGATGAAGATAGGATAAATACAATACTGACCAGTGGCAAATTTCTTGATTACTTTTTATTTGTTGAAGTAGGCCATAAGAATTGTTTTAAAGAGGAGATTAAGAAGATGTTGATGTTTTGTGACTTACTGGAAAACAGTAATGAAATGAGAACTGTTTGAGGCTGATAATCAGTATGTGTCTGTGCATTTATTTTACCAGTGCTGTAATGGAAAACAAGGTAAATAAATGTAGTTCCTTCCCTCATGGAATGTCATAGGAGAAACAGACGCACACAAACAGTATTAGTAAGGAAATACAGAACATTACTAATTGTGTCAAATGCTATGAAGCAAAAACTTGACCACTCCTATTACTTGTGTTAGTATCTGCAAACAGTCAAATGGTTCAGTTGACTCCTCCATGTCAGTCATTTTGTTGCCATTCTTCTAGTACCGGACATAATGCTAGGCTCACAATTATCAATTTAATATCTGATAATGAGTAAATTCTGCTACTGAACTGTCTAATCTATAAGAATAAGATGGAGTTTGGCAAGTAACAGACAGCTCACAATATGTTGTCTACAAGTAGATGTGCCAGACAATGGAAAGGTGCAAGACAATGTTGAGATGCATTAGCCCTTGAAATGTGACTAATCCAAATTGAAATACATTGTCAGTATCAAATATATATCATCAAAATTGGGATATAAACTATATCTATTTTTATATTAGTAAAATTAAAATATTTTTGGTTTAATGGGTTAAATAAAATGTTAACTTCAGCCTGTTTGCATTTTATTTTTCTACAAAGATTGCTCATGAGGCTCACATTGGTTTTGGACAATACTGTTTAAAAGGAAATATTGGTTGAATGACATGATTCTATACCTAGAAGATCCAAAAATTCCACTAGAAAACTTCTAGAATAAATGAATTCAGCAAAGTAGCAGGATATAAAATCAACACCCATAAATCAAATGCATTCCTATACAATCAGTGATGAATCCACTGAAGAGAAATTAGGAAAACTACTCCATTCACAATCACAATAGCCTCAAGTAAATAAATAATTAAATAATGGGAATCAATGTAACAAAAGAGGTGAAAGACCTCTACAATGAAAACTACAGAACATTAGAGAAATAAATATTACTGATGACACGATTCTATACCTGGTAGATCCAAAAATTCCACTAGAAAACTTCTAGAACTAATAAACGAATTCAGCAAAGTTGAATAAGCTATGTTGTTGGGATTTAATGTAGTAACATACTCAAACTTCAATATATAGTTGGAATTGTTTGACAGTATGGAAAATTGTTAACAAAAGTTTTAATATCCTTCCACACACTCCAAGAAAAAGTTTATGTTGTTCATGGAAAAATATATTGTGGCTTAGCAAAATGAGCAAATTCCCATATTATAAAAGAATTTGTATCTTTGAGAAAAGAAGGATGGCCCCTGAGATTTACTATCCTAATCTTCATGATTAAAGATAAATTTTCCCCTCCATGATTTGGTTGCATTACATGTCACAATGGCTTAGGCCTAGACTAATCACATGAGCCCTTAAAATCAAAGTTTGTGAGATTAGAAACACAGAAGAATTTAATGGAAGGGAGAATCGTCTCTTTTACTGAACATGGAGAGGGCCATATGGCAAAGGCCTGAAGAGCTGAGAGCTACCCCTGGCCAACAGCAAGCAGGAAAACAGGGCACTATGTCTCTAAGGAATTGAATTCTGCTAATGATAAGAATGTGCCAGGAAACCGATTTTTTTCAGAACTCTCAGGTAAGAATTTACCTAGCTAACACATTGATGTCAGTCTTAATGTCCTGAGTACCTACGTTGTTGGACATCTGATGGACAGAACTCTGAACTGCTAAATAGGTGAGTAGTGATTTGTCAGATAGCCATAAAAAACAAATATATAGTCATGCATTGCATAAGAATGTTTCAGTCAACAACAGATTACATATCTGATCATGACTATACCATATAGCTTGACTGTATATAGTATGCTAAACCATTCTCTAAGTACACTCTGATGTCTGCACAAGTATGAAATTGCCTTAACATATTTTTCGGTTCATATCTGTCATTAAGCAATACATGACTGTGCATAGTTTTATTGGTACTGTCTGATATATGGTTAAAATATTCTTTATGCATTTTCAAAACTATTGATTCATCTTTGCATATCTTCTAGATATACTTTAAAATGGATATTTGTCAAGCTAGAAAAAGCTCTTTGGGATTTTGATTGGAACTGCCCTAAATTGAGAGCTTAGTTAAGGGACAGTTAAATTCTGTAAAATACTTAATTTTCCTAACCAATAAACACACAAAGTCTCTTCATTCAGTCTAGTCTATTACATCCTTAAGTAGCACTAAATTTTTGCCAGTGCCTTTCTATATCTTATTTCCAGCAATTTTATAGCATTTCTTGCTTTTGTCAGTGGGATTTTTTTTAAAACATAACATTTCCTAACTAGGTCTTACTGAAATATTACAGATTAATTGATTTCATATTAACTTCAATATATAGTTGGATGTCAAAATTCTATTTTATTGACCCTCTCAAATCACCACTGGTTTTACTTACTATCTATTTTGGTTTATTTAAACTAAAAAAAAAAAAATATTTTTCTTGTTTTTGTTAATTCCTACCTTTTATTAAATCCTATATTTTGTTTGTCCCCTTGCCACATTAGCTGAATTCTTAGTTCTCATTTAATTTCAATCTTTCTTATTTTAGTAATAGAAGGATTTGACTTTAAAATGTTTCTAAATGATACTGTAGTACTCTTATTGTTTCTAAATGTCTAGATACTCTGAAATTTCACCTGAGAATTATTATATCATGGAAGATTAATTTTGAAGGGTACATTGTTAAAGCTTGTAAGAAGTCCTGCTATTTTTATTGCTATCTTTTGTTTCTAGTTTCTTGTGCAATGTAGCCTTCAAAGGTAAGCTCTTATTTCTTTTAGAAATTAAGATTTTTTCTTTAGGGCCAGTACATGGTTTCTTTTTCTTCATTCTTTTATGTTTTAAGTGCTTAAAACGAATCTTTTAAAAATATACAAAGCACTGTTTAAAAATAGATTTTATATACCATGCAGTAGGAGTAGCAACAAAAATGAAAAATACATGATTCTGCATCTAAATGATTCATAGAAAGTTAAACAGATGTTTAACTCAGTATATCATAGACTCCCTTTATGTAAAACAAAGATGGTAAAGTGTTTGGTCTATACTATTTTCTTTCCCAAACCTTTGCCTTGGCAGTAATATATAACTTCATGGTATTGTTTTGTCTTCTACTTCTTTCAAATAAATATTTGATACACTGGATTATCTTAAAGCCAGTTGCCTTTTCTCAGATGCTAAATCTGTTCCCACTTATTCACATTCATTTGATTATTTGAATGTATTTGAACATTTTTAGTAAGGCAAAAATGTAATAAGTTATAAAATTAGAGTAATTAAGAATAGAAGCAGAATCAACAAACATAAATATGCAACCAGGATTTCAATAGCAAATAAGCTACAGTCAGTATAGTTGTACGTAATTAGTTCCACATTCATTGAATATAATTAGAAAATGCTCCAGTACTTACTGATTCAAGGAAAAAGTGGGACAGATGAACTACCTTACAATTTTTTGTCTTAGTAAACAGCTGTAAATAGAAGGTAAAGGATCCATCAGAGATCATAATTTAGAATTTAAAATGAAAATGTAACAGTAAATATAAAATGACATAGAAATTTATGAGATTATGAGTAAGAAAAGAAAGATTTAAATAAATGTGCCTAGTACATAAAAGAAGTTCCTGTTAATTCTACATCCCACCATATTTTGTTACAGTCTAATGTCTTTCAGATTTGGTTGTCTGTAGACCAGGCCACCAGTAAAACATAAGGTATCGAAAGCACCATATTTGGTATAAGTTTATTTATGAATATGTGTAAAGGAGCCTGAAAGAATACTAACTATAATTAAACAAAAATATTTCAGTGCTCAGTGTTCTAAGATACTCATAGCCACATTTTTTCATACCCAGATTTTTATTCATTACGTTTAAACTTTACATGTTAAATGACATTGATTTAGCCTCCCCCTCATGAAGTAGATTTAATTTGAGCAATTTTACTTACCTCTCTAGGCTCTGTTTATTTACTTGTGAAAATGAACACTGAATTAGGATCTAGATGATCTAAAAGTTTCTTTGAGTTACAAAATCCTGAGTGTCACTGATACTGTTGACTATTGTAGGCATTATTTTATGTACTTGAAATTTCATTTCACTTACTGTGCATGTATTAAAAACTGAAGAATGAGATTATTTACCATACTTATAAGCAAACAGGTTAGTCTCCTAGGTACAGGCAACTTGGATTATCTTTACATCAAGCATCATGTGCTTCTTGTTTTTGCTAGTAGTTCTTGACTCTCAAGTCTTATAGGGATAGTGTAGAGGCCCCAAGGTAGATGCCATGCATGAAGGGAGATTTTGTCACAGCAGGGAAGCCAGTGCTTAAGGAGGCTTTCTCTTAGGCTTGGAGGTTTTAGACCATGGTTGGTCAGTCCGTTACTTTTGGGCTTATTGTGAGCCAATACATCATGGTGGAGTGCAGAGAGGAGGAAGCTGCTCACTTTGTGGCAGCTGGGAAGTGAAAGAGGAAGAAGCCGTGGTCCCACTATCCCCCTCAAGGGCATGAACCTCTGTGACCTAATTTTTTTCCACTAGGATCCACCTCTCGATCTAGTTAAAGGCTGGTATATAGGTCTTTGGGGTACACGTATCCAAACCCCAATCATTTTTAACAGACTGCTACCATACCTACCCAAACTTTGCCCCAGAGAAACAATGTTACTCATTACACTGGACAATAAACAAACCTGGTTTGTATGCCTCTACTTTGCAGGGAGGGGACTATTTTTATTTTCCAAGACTATCTTTGAAAGATTAGTAAGAACTAAAGTTGTGATTTGCCTCTGTTCACAAGATGTGCAGAAATGCAAGAGACTTAGACTGTTGTCTTCCTACATCATCACCTCATCTCAAAAGTTATTATCCTCTAATTCATACATATACCTCTATAGATTATTACTTTAGTGTATACTAATATAGAACTGTTTTCAACTTTAATATTAAATTTCATTAATTTTTGTTTTATGGGCTTATTGTACAGCTTCAAGTTGCTTAGTTTTTTTTCTTATTTTAAAATATGTGTACATTGAAATAAACTTGTACTAC